AGGGCAAACCAGGAAAGGGCATAGCAGAGAGGCCATCCCGGGCTGCCGGGTGAGAGGCGAAGGTCTAGGAGTAGGATGAGAAGGGCAGAGGGAAGGCAAGGACTTTGGTCAGTCCCCTCTGACAGCCACCCAGTAGAGCAAAACTGCTCAGTCCCAGTTTCCACAGCTACCATGCAATTTATTGTCCAAACCTGGACGCTTTTGAGAGTGAAAGTAGTAATTATTCCAGGATAATAGGAAGTAGGCCTATCCTTGGCAGTGGGATGTGTGGTCACCTTAGCCTGGAGCACAAGTCTGATCCTCATGCTCCAACTCTGGCCCACAGGGGCGCCCCACACCTCCTCAGAGCCAGGCTTGTGGAAAGGCAGGGTCTCCCCCTTTCAAGGCCCTTCCCACACCCTCTCTTTTTCTGATGACTCATATGGGTACCACCACTGTCTTCAGAGAAATAGCAACCTCCCAGAGGAACGTGGTCCTTCCTGGTACCCAGTGGGACTCCTGGAGAACTGCTAGGAGCCTGTCCACCCTAGAAGGGTGAACAGAGAGGCCAGATTGGGGTTCACCCATGTCCCCCTGCCTGTCCATGACCCCCTGGCAAAGCCCTGGGATCCCCAGCCTCCTCCCTCTTGCTTGCCCCCATTTCCAACGGCTGCCGGGAGGTGTCCCCACATTCCTGGTTCCGGGTTCGAGCTCAGCCCTCCCCAGCCCCTGCCTGGGTACATGGCAACAAGTACACACCAGGTCTTGCAGCCTTCAAACCATCTTCCCTGACACAACATTTAAACCCAAGCCTGAACACAATACGGCAAGTAGACCAAACAAAAAGAACAAAAACAAAGACCCCTTCCGTGGGAGAAAAAACACATGAAAAACAAAAACATCACTATAGAAGTCAACTTCCCTGCAAACCTAACACTTCCTCTATGAACTGACTGCAAAGTAGCTCTCGGCCTTGTCCCCAACACCGCAAGGCTTCTAGCATGTGGCCACCTACCAGCAGCTCTGTGTCCCTTTCCCGTTTCCTTGTGCCATCACCACACACCCGAATGCCTCCTCTGCCTGCTGGATTCCTGCGGCTTCTTTAAGGCCCTCCTAGACCTGACCACCTCTGCCCCAACCCCTGAGCTCCCGGAGTTGCCCTTACCCAGACCAGGTGTGAGGGTACTTCTGTGCCTCCTGTCTGCCACAGCGGGAGCTTGGCCTACTGTAGACTCTGTAACACAGTTGAACTAGCTGATCCTTCCCACTCACTCCTGATTCTCCAGAAGGGTGCCCTTGAGGATGGACAAGTTGATTCCTGAGTTCCCTGCTAACTCTGAAATCCCTTAGTGCTGCAGCCTAGGCCTCAGGACTCAGCCATCACTCTGAAACCCGCCAACAAAAAATAAATACTTTTTTTAATGCTGCTATACCAGAAGTCTTAAGGAATGGACCAGGGATGCCTGTGGATCCCCAAAACCCTCTCAGGGGGACTGCAAGGTCCGAATTACTTTCATGGTCAAACTAAGAGGTTATTTGCCTTTTTGCTCACATTTCCTCACAAGCGTACAGTGGAGTTTACCATAACTTTATGATGGGTGGATTTGCAACAGAATGAATGCAGAAACAAATGAGAACCCAGCTGCTTTAAAAACATAAAACAACGCTGTTCTTTTCACTAAATTTGCTTGTTTTGGAACATAGAGCCATTTTTCTTTAAAAATGTTAAGGTTTATTTTGAGAGAGAGCATGCACAAGAGAGGGAGGAACAGAGAGGGAGAGAGAATCCCAGGCAGCACCACGTGGAGCTCCAGTTCCACAAACTGTGAGATCATGACCTGAGCTGAAATCAAGAGTCAGACCCTTAACTGACTAAGCCACCCAGGTGCCCCTAAAAATACATTCACGTGTAATGGATTATTTTTACTTTTAATTTAATAATACACTTTAAACTTCTCCTTTTTAATCTCTAATAGACTAAATGTTGCCAATTGTTATGTCTCTTATAAACAACAACCCCTGGGATCCTCAGTTTTTAATTTGTAAAGAAGTCCTGAGACCCCTACATCTTCCTCATACCTTCCATCACCTCTCTGCTGCATCTCACAGCATTTTTTTTTTAAATGTTTATCTATTTGAGAGAGACAGGCAGAACATGAGCAGGGGAAGAACAGAGAGAGGGAAACACAGAATCCAAAGCAGGCTCCAGGCTCCAAGCTGTCAGCACAGAGCCCGATGCAGGGCTCCCACTCCCAGACTGCGAGATTATGACCTGAGCTGAAGTTGGCTGCTTAACCAACTGAGCCACCCAGCTGCCTCTTTATTAAATTTAGTTTTGAGAGACAGACAGAGATAGAGAGCAAGCAGAGGAGGGTCAGAGAGAGAGGGAGACACAGAATCGGAAGCAGGCTCCAGGCTCAGAGCTGTCAGTGCAGAGCCCAACACAGTGCTCGAACTCAAAAACTGCAAGACCATGACCAGAGCCAAGTTGGATGCTTAACCAACTGAGGCACCCAGACACTCCCACCCCTCTTTTTTAATGTTTATTTTTGAGAGAGAAAGAGAGCGAGTGGGGGAAGGGAGGGGACAGAGGGAGGGAGAATATCTGAAGTAGGCTTTGTACTGACAGCCCAGAGCCCAGTGTGGGGCTCAAACTGAGTGGAAGTCAGATGCTTAACCTTAACCGAGGGAGCCACCCAGGCACCCCAGCAGTCAATTTCATGAGAGTGAAACTCCCCTCCTACAGGCTCCCCAGCTCTGACCTGTGGCTTCCTGCCACTCTTCCTGAAATTCTCTCACTGAGGCCACAGAGGACGCCCTGGCATTTCATCTAATGGACGTTCCTCTCTCCTTATTGCCCTGACCATTCAGCAGCATTTCCCTGGTTTTCCTCCTGTCTCTCCAGCTGCTTGCTCTCCACTCTTCTTCATTCAAGCCACCAGGGCTGAGCACAGCCCTGTTCTCTTTCTCTCTCTACTTCCAAGGATTTCAACTACTGTCTCCCTGTGTGTGGCCCCCAGATCTCTTACTCCAGACCACATTTCTCTCTGAATTGCAGACCCACATCCTCAACTGCCTCCTGAACATCCATGTGGATGCCACTGCCCTACACAGACAACCCCAGATCATATACTGCTGCAGAGCTCATCTGTACCCCTGCCCTTCCAGACCTACAACTATACCAACAGCCCTGGCCCTCTACCCTTCCCTCCCTTCCCCTTCAGCCAGCCACATCCAACCCTGCCAGCCTCATGCCCTGAATCACTCTCAGATCCATCCTCCCTCCCGTTCCCACTGCCTCACCTCAGCTGGAGCCACCTCCACCCCTCCCTAGCCTGTCTTTGGCCTTCCTGCTCCAACCTGATACAGAAGTCAGGGCTCCTCTTAAGCAGTCTCTTCTCCACTCAGAATTCATAAGAGGCCCCCACCGACCCAGGAGGGAAGCCACCTCCGTAGCACAGCTAATCAAGCCCAGCCACAGGATGTGGTCCTGCCACCTGTCCAGTCCCGTGTCCCATCCCCCATGCCACTATGTCCCAGCTGGTCTGAACTTGCTTCCTCCTCTGCCACAAGCTGTTCCCTGCCTCTGTTCAACAAAGACCCCTTCTCAGGCTCAGGGCTCAGCCTTGTCATTCTCTCCCCGAGAAAACCTTCCCTGACCCCCTCCTTCATGTCAGGACCCCACTCTTGGCCTCCCCTCACAGCACATTTCATGCTAAATGGTTACCATTCAGAATCTCTTAGTTCTCTAAGGAGGAAGATTGCTTCACTGCTGCATCCACAGTGCCAGGTCAGCGTCTGGCATATAACAGTTTGGTAAATACTTGAATGGATTGAAGAATGGGAGCCTATCTACAGCTGGCAGGCAGCCCTCCCTACCCCTGCTCAACAGAGAGCAGGGCTCTGCTCTGAGCACCCAAATTGGGTGTCTTGCCCTGCCCTGACCCATGAGATGCTCCCTAAGCCTCCCTCGCCCCACCCCCCACCACTGCCTCCTCCTGCTGTGTTGCCCTGACAAACTTCCAGAAGAACTTGGCTGGACTCCACACTTCTCCCCATCATCGGCACATACCAGAGGCACAACAGATGCCCAACTTGGTCAGAGCTGACCCTGCTGGGGACACCCAGACCAATCCAGGGCACCAGCCACAACAACAGCAGCAGCAGCAAAACATACCACAGTGTCCCAGTGTAAACTGATGCTCAGTGGACTGAAGGCCACTGGGCCTTTGGAGGTCACTGGGCCAGTGAGACTGGGGTACAAGCAGGCTCTTCTGCTACAAACAGGCTGTCACCTGGGCCCTATATCGATTCTGCAGGCCCAGGACTAGAGGCTGAGCCCACTGAGGGGTCATTCTGAGATCCTGGGGCTGAGATTTGCACTCATGGGCCAGGGTGGGGAGGAGCAGCCAGGGGCAGACAGAGTGAGTAAGCAGCAGCCAAGAAGGCACCCTGGCAACTCATTCTGTTGTGAGCGAGACTCCTGACAGGTCAGGATAACAGAGAAGCAGCCCCAGGAGACAACAGTAAACAGCTGGATCTCAAAGTCACAGGGCCTCTTAGCTCCGCCAGGCCACAGGTCTCTGCTGTCAGCACTACTGAAGTCCTATCGCCACCCTACTCTAACCCACATGCTCCTTTAGCAGAAAGCCAGGGGGCTGATCATGCTGTCACCAAGAGGCAGCAGCTAGAGGAAGACCTGGTGTGACTTCCAAGCCAGCCAGTCTATTCAAGGCAGCTGAGAGCAGGCACAGGGCACCAGGTCCGTGGGAGGAGCACTGCCTACAGGACTGCCCCGTAGAGCCACACGGGTTGAATTCTGCACGACACTGAGATGTGAATGGTGCCCAGAGTGCGGTGCCCTGGTCGCCGGTCCTGCCTGCTCAGCTGCCCCCTCCGTGGGAGAGGAATGGAGATAAGGAGGGAGTCCCTGACCCTCTCATGAGCCTTCCAGGGCTTTACCATCTTGCTTGTCCCAATGCCCCATCTGAAGAAAAAACCACATTGCAGCACAACACAGATAATAAGGGATCAGTTTATGGGTAACAGTATGGGTCAGACTGAGAAGGTACCAGGCCTACAGTGAGGAGCTTCCCAGGAGTAGACCAACTGACAAGTAAACAGACAGTGGAACAGGGAAACGAAGCCAAATGGCCAAGAGACCCAGGCAGCTGTACCTGGCTCCAGATCCAGTTCTGCCCTGGGAATGTGGGAGGAAGAGCCAGACCCATAGGTGCCTCAGTTCTTCTAAGGCCCCCTTCTCTTCAATCCCTGCTGTCCCTTACAAGCAGGCTGGGACTTTTCACAGGTGGCATATTTCCAGGGCTAGAGAACAGTTGGTCTGGGGGTGGGGAAGCAGTGGCCTGGGTGGGATGGGGTTAGCAGCAGCACTGGGGGGAATCTCATCAGGCACCGCTCAGCAGGGCCCATATGTCCAGGGCAGGCCCCCCACCCTGCACACCACACCAACATGGTGCAATAAATAGTTTCAAGTAGTAAGTCAGTGTCAGGCAGGAGAGCTGGAGACTGCTGGGACAGGCAGGGGCTTAGGGAGAGAAGCTCCCCACCACCCACCAAATCCCTTCAGTGAGCTGTATCAAGTCTGCTGTGTGCCACAGGAGTAGGCACGTGGCCCCATGTCTATTGGGCACTCCCTGCAGGGGCTCAACCCCTCAGACCAGCGCCCAAGCCTGTTCAGTGGGGCAGAAGCAGGGCAGCATGGTGCCCACAGCGTCCACGATGGCTGCCAGGTGCTCGTCCTGTGCCTGGGGCCCACAGAGCTGCATGAAGTCGGCCAGGCGTAGCAAGTACTCGAGGTTGTGGCCAGAGAAGCCACGGCAGGCCAGGATCTGGGTTGCAATGGCCTCTTCAGGTGCAGGGCCCAGGTAACCAGGATTTTGTGGGGTAGCCACGTAAGCCAATGCCTTGAGTGGTTGGTCAGGGGTATCTTGGGGGTAGAAGGTGACTTCCTTGGTATCATAGCCACCGAGCACTGCCTCCCGCACGTTCAGGTACTTCAGGGCCTCGCTCACCTGCTCACCTTGAACCTGGTATGCCACACCCCAAGTGCAGCCCTAGGGGGAAACACGGACACCGGGGGTCAGTCAAAACAGCTCCTGGCTGGTCCCACCTCAGGTCTGTGCTCTATAAGGAAAGTGGGCAGAGGACTGATGAGTCGTATGGTAGCAATACATCAAGCTCATTCTCCCTTTCTTAACAAGGGCTGACAAGGTGGTCTGGCCCCAAGGCAGAAGAAGAGGATTCCTACTCAGAGTGTGGTTTGAGAACCAGTGGCATCATCTGAACACTTAAGGAATGGGAGTTTCAGGCCCCACCCTAATCTGCTTAAATAGAAATCTGCATTTAACAAGGTCCTCAGGTGGTTCTTGTGAGAAGCCCTGAGCTAGACCACCCTTCCACTCTGCCAGAGAGGCATTACATCTAGCCTGCAGCCAAGGACCCATGAGCTCTGTCTTAGACCCTCCATGCTAAGCCCTCTGGGATCTCTCTTGACTCAGGCACTTACCTCACGATCTTCAAGGAGGGTCACCACACGGCCAGGCTGAGGAAGGAAAAATTTTGAAAAAGACAAGTTAGGAATCAGCTCTGCCCCCAGTACTGAAGGAAACCCTTATTAACCCTGCTGGCTCAGGCCTCAGACAACCCCACTCATCCAAGGGGAAGTGGAGAGAGGGATGCATGACTGCAGGAGAAATAGATACATGGCAGTGGCGCAAATTGATATTCATCAATTGCATGGTGTTCCACAGGATCACAGATTCCAGCCATCACGATGATCTGCTGGGCACAGAAATTTAAGCCACAAACCCAGGCACAGGTTTATACACTTCCCCCACCAGCACGGAGTCACCGTCTGCCCAGAGAGCCCCAGGACACTCGTGCCCACTACCCTGCCCCCACCCTCTGCATTCTCCTGGGCATGGTCAGATGCTCACCATCTTGTCGCTGCCCCGATGGAAGGTGTCTCCCTGCCAGAAGCGGCGGCTATAGCCGCGCACGAAACCCACACGGCTGTCACTGTAGGCGAAGTCGGGCCTCCAAACCAGGGAGCCGTACCCGAAAATCCACAGAGCTTGGGGGTCGCCGTCATCCCGAGGATGCTGCACCGCTGGCGAGGGAGGTGGTGAAGGGGGTGGCGAGGCGGGAGGAGTGTTCTGGACTGTGGACTCCTGCTTCATGGTGCCGGGCACAGGGACGAGCCCGGCGGCCTCCGGGGGCTGGTCTCCGGCGCGGGCACGGAAGGACCAACGGACGCGCACACCTGGCCTGGCACCGCTTGGTTGGTCCAGCTGCGCGGCCCCCTCGGAGGCGCCTTTTAAACCCTCCGGCCAGGAGGGCCCCCGCCCACCGCGCCAGCCGCCACGGTGATTGGGGCGGGGCAAATCCCCTTTTGACCAATGAATTTCGTGTCTTACTTCCCGGTTAACCGCGCCGCCCTCTGAGTGGGTAACTGAGCGGCCTGCCCCGGACCGAGCTCGCCCGCTGATTGGCTAGGTTCCACCTCTGTAGCAAATCTGGCAGGAGTGATGCAACCGCGGGGGAGGTTTCCCCAGCTCGGGCATGCAGCAAGGGCACCTCCGATTGCGTCAGGCGGCGGGTAGTGGGCACCGACGCGGGCACTGGTCGTCTCTCCGGCAGCCACTCCATGGCCTAGGCCCTTCAGGAACCAGGACCGGCGGGTCCCAGATGGGCATCCCCCCAGCTGCCCTGCGAGTGCACCTGGGCGGGTCACGGACACCCCAGGTAGCACGGACTCTTTACCAAGGCCAGTGCAGGGCACGTCCCGCATGAACTCTATGGGAAGCGTAAGCGCCCATCACTGGGGTTCCGCCTGGGAGCACGTACTCTAGAGAAGCAGTCGGAGACACCTGCATTCCACATAGGTGCCTCACGCGGTTGGAACGCGTGAGCAAATGGAGAAACTGAGTCACGGGGCTGGCAAGTGGTTCTGCAGAAGCTGTGAAGCTGAGTCAGACCGGGTGCCGGGAGTTTGCGGGCCTCACGTGAGAGCTACGCCCAGGGCCAGATGTGGAACCCCATGAGCCCAGGTAGGCTTGGGGTGCAGCGCTTGCAACCACCGCTGTCACTTTGACGGTGCTGTCGACCTGAGGAGAGAGGCCATACAGACAGACCAGTTCTGCCCATAGGCGAGAAGTTTAGTTCTGCTCAGACCTGAAACCTTTGCAACAATGATTGGGTTCATCCTTAGGCACGAAATTCCAGGACCTTCAGTGAGCTGCAGGCAAGGAGGCCAAACTGAGGCTCCCAGACGACTGTGAGCAGCTACCGGCTTTCTCTCTTGGCTGTTGGCCTCCTGACCTAGGAAGGCCTGCAGGCTGTCTGGGTTGAGCCCCCCTCAGCAGGGGCAAAAGTCTGCCCCCTGGGGATGTCTCTGGCTGGAAAGGGGGAACAGAGGCAGCAGCAGGCCTGCCCCCAGGACTACAGAACAGGCTCGGGGACACTGCTATCGAGGTCTGACATGAGCCCTCTGGCAGGCAAAATGGGCAGTATTGCTTCTGATTAGATTCTAATTAGATATTTAAACTAAAAAGTACCTGCACACTTGAAGTAGTCATTCCAAAAGTGTGTAAGATACACACAAAAGTGTATAAGTTGCACGACAGTGTGTATAGCATGAAGCTAGTTCTGTAAAAACAAAATCAGTTATACATTAATATTTGTAAAAGAAGTAATCTCAAAAAGTCTATCTAAACTGTTAACAGAGCCTGTCACCAGAGAAGAACTTGCAATATTAAATGTAAATGGTTATGGGGAAGTTTGTTGGTTTTTGTTGTTGTTGTTTCTTCTTGTTTTGTTTCTTGTAAGGAGCATGAATTACTTTTCCAACTGGAAAAAATATATAGGCAAAGTGGTTGCTTCTGGTCATTTCTTTCCCTCCATTCTCGCTCTCCCTTCTTCTCCTCTACCCCCATCCTATCCCCTTTAGTCCATATGGTTGCCTCCTTTGCTACCAGCTTCTTCAGGAGAATATCCCCACTTCCATCTACCACCTTTCGGTAGTGGGATAGCAGGCAGGAAACTGGTACCAACATATTCCTGGAAGTACCTAAATTTGCACAAACAGTGCTTTGAAAAAGCAGCTTAGTGGTACAAATCAAAAATCAAAATGTCCCTGGCCTTTGACCCAATACTTCCACTCCAGGAAATTATTCAAAATATGGGAAAAGTCCTATGCCTAAAGGACTTTTCAATGCATTGTTATTTATCATAGCAAAACAAAAGAAGAGAAACTACCTAAATATCCCAAAATAGCTAAACGTTTAAGTAATTTATGTGATCAGTCCACATGGTGGAGAAATACACACAAAGAGAATAACTTAAATATGTAGTAATAGATGATTAAATTTGTTTTTTTTTAATTTTTTCAATGTTGTATTATTTCTAAGAGAGAGAGAGAGAGAGAGACAGCGTGAGCAGGGGAGGGTCAGAGAGAGAGGGAGTCACAGACTCTGAAACAGGCTCCAGGCTCTGAGTTGGCAGTCAGCACAGAGCCCGACGCGGGGCTCGAACCCACGAACCACGAGATCATGACCCAAGCGAAAGTCGGACGCTTAACCGACTAAGCCACCCAGGCGCCCCTGATTAAATTTGGTATAGACATAATATTAAAGCTGTGTGGTCATTAGAACAGATGTATGCCTATACTTAAAAAGTCTAGTGTGTATTTGCATAGAAAACAATCCGGAAGAACACATAAAAGTTTCCGTGATTACCTCTGAGTGGTAGGACTACATGAGCTTTGCACTTTCATTTTTATGCCAAGTCAGATGGTCTGGGATTGTTTAAGAGAATGTAAACCACTTCTATTTAGAAAAGAAAAAGTCAAAATAAAAATCCACTATGAGGGGTACCTGAGTGGCTCAGTCAGTTCTCATGGTTGTGAGTTCAAGCCCCATGTTGGGCTCCCTGCTGGGTGTGAAGCCTACTTTTAAAAAAAAATCCATCGAGAAAACAATGCAGTAAAAATGCCTAGGACTGCATAGTCAGGCAAAAATGCATAATAACTATCACATGCGCTATGATTAAAACTATTAAAACAACAATAACAGGATACATGAGGAAAAAGATGGGGGCATCATATACTAGTGATGGATGTGTTGTGGGTGATTCTTTGTTTTTCAAGGCTTATGAAGTGTAATTTTTAATAATAAAAGTTTACTTTTAAAGAGTAGGTAATGGTTTTCTGGTGGCTAAGAGGCAGAGAGTGTATCGGAATTACCTGGGGAAGATTTTCAAGATCACACCTCCTCCCAACGGAACAAAGCCGGTTGGTGAGGTCATCAGTAAGGAACCCTTGCTCCAAGTAAGTTAGGCACTTCCTCCTCCGGGCTCCCACAAACTCTTACCTCGCTTCTGTTTATCTGTCCCCTCTACCTCTTGCCTATAACAGAAACAATCATTTAGTGAATGCTTACCCTGAGCTAGGTAGTTTGCTAAGGGCTTTACATTCCTTTTAATTACAAACTTCTCCCCTGCTTTGTGAGGTAAATATCATTTCACAGGTGAACAAACTGAGCATAGGGAAGTTAGGTAACCCACTCATGGTGTTGCCACAGCAAGGCAAGTCGTGGAGCCTAGATCCAAAAGCAGGTAGACCCACCCCAGAGCCTCCTTGCTGGTAAGCTTTGGATATCCTGTTTCCTGAGAACCTGAGAGCTCCCTGAAAGCAGACTTCATCTTTTAAGTCCCCGGGGGACCCACAAAGGGCTGGCTCATGGAAGGTTCTCCACAAAAGTAGGTAGAAGAAATGGAACTTTTACTTCGAAAAGCCAGGGCACCCTGGAGATCAGAGGAGGAAGGATCCTGCAAGACACAGGTTGAGCCTTGACCCTCTCAAAACAGGAATCCCCACAAAAGTTGACCCAGGGCTCTTGGCCACCTTCCTGGGAACATGTCTTGCCTGTTCCCATTTCTCACTTATCCTTGCCAGCATGTGTGTCCTTTCCTTCCAGTGGGACGCTCCCAGGCAGTAACCCATCCCACTCAACGTCTGCAGCAGCCATCCCAACTTTCTTCTAAAATCTCCTCAGGAAGGGGCTGCAGATGTTATACCCACAAAAGTACCGGCTCAGGGATCACCTCCACCTCAAAGAGCGGCACATGATGCGCACATGGTGGCTTCTTTTTTTGGACCTTTTCCAACTTAATTTTTTCTTAATGTTCCCCTTCAGGCAATCACTTCTCATTTCCTTATAATCTGTTCCTTCTCACTTCTCCTTCCAGTCACTGCAATCAACTTCTGGTATCCGTGGGCACAATTATCTGAAACAAGGGAAGGGTGTGTTGAGAAGTTAGGAGCTCATACTAATTCACTATGCTAACTGATGAGGTTGCTTTAGAAAGCAGATTCCCAAGGGATGAAAACCCCTCCTAGATGTGTGCTCTAAACCCAGCTTGCCCAGACTTGAGCCCTGCTCCATCATTTATCATCAGGCTCACTGTCTCTGGTTCTCCATTTTCTCAACTGTGAAATGGGGAATAATAGTATCCATTTTGTAGGTTCTGATGAGGATAGAAAGAAATGACACCTCAGGGGCGCCTGGGTGGTTCAGTCGGTTAAGCATCCAACTTCGGCTCAGGTCATGATCTCACAGTTTGTGAGTTCAAGCCCTGCGTCGGGCTGTGTGCTGACAGCTCAGAGCCTGTAGCCTGTTTCGGATTCGGTGTCTCCCTCTCTTTCTGCCCCTCCCCTACACCCACTCTGTCTCTCTCTCTCTCTTAAATATATATAATATATATTTTAAAAAAAAAAGAACACCTCAGCCAGCACCTGGCATATGGAAGTACTCAATATAGTTGGCTCCTTATTATTTTTCCTGCAGACTTCACACTTTCCATTTTATCTAGGATAAAGCCATAGTCTACTATTGTGATTTACAATAAGAAATATATATTTGGTCTTCATCCCGTTCCTGACACAGAGCTCCAAAACCCTTGGAATTTCCTAAGTGATAAGAGTGATAAAGATGATAAACAAGCTCTTATCCACCACACCTGAGTTTAGTTAACGTGGGGGCCTTCTGGAAAGTCCCTAAGGATTGGGGAGGGGCTGGTTGCCAGGGAAATCAACCACGTGGTTAGAAGGTTGGCACTCTCAGCCTCAACTTTCATCCTCCTGGTAAAGGAGAGAAGGGCTAGAGATTGAGTTCAATCACCGGTGGCCAATGATATCATCAATCAACGGTTTGATCAATCACACCTACGTACTGAAGCCTCCATAAAAACCCCAAAGGACAGGGGTGTGGCCACCTTCTGGGTTGTTAAATTC